GCCAACGCATACATTCACAGCCCAGTGGGAAATCACAGCCACTAGCACACTGACTAGCTAGCTCACCAGGTGGCAGAGTCTGCATGTAGAGTCTGCCACTGGCTCTCTGGAAACAGGCAGTCAGGACTGGGTGCAGACTGGCCACCGAGTCCAGAGCACGACTCAGCAACTGGCGGTCTAGTGCGCCGTGGATCGTGAAGGCCCTGACGATGTTATTGACTCGGGGGCTCAGCCCCGATGGGAGAACGGCAGCAGTGAATCTCTCTGAGTCCAGTTGGAGATGGTCCTGGAGGAGAGTGGCAGGGAATGGAGAGTCGGGGCACGAGATTGGGGAGAACGGGATGTCAAACACGTGGGTACTCTGCTCGGCTTCGGACTCAAACCCAGGTCTGCTGGGAGGGGTGGTCTCTCCCTCCTCGTCTGAATAAATCTGGAGATGAACGAAATAAACATAACCTTACATTGTAAACCAGTACATTTACACAAGCTTGCATGATAATTCTTGGTGTGTGTTCTTATTTTGCTCAGCTACCTCCTCCTCGCTGTCTTCCAGCGACGAAGATTCTCCCTGACTCTCAGTAGAGGACTTCTCTGCAGGTTCCTCGCAATGCAGGGGGCTGACTGGTAAAGGTGGGAGCATTGTACGAGTTGCCTTGGGGTGCGCTGTAGAGGAGGTAGCTGGGAAGGCGGCTGGGGGCTCGGTGGGGAAGGAGTGTGCCGTCTGTCGAGGTAGGAGACGTGGAGTGTCGCGCAGACTGCTTCGTCGCTGGTTCCTGGGCGGTTGGTAATGCAGAGGTCTACCGGTCGGTTCGGAGCGAGAGTGGTGACGAGTGTGTTGAGCCAGTGGAGGTATTCCCTGGGGCTCTGAGAGGTGTTGGGGGACGTCCATGTGTCTTACAGTCACGCGTAGACCGCTGCCAGGCCGCGTCGTGACCCCCGATGCCCGCCACAAGATGTCGGGAAAGGCCCCAGGTCGACTCTCTCTCTCGCTGGCCCGCGGCGCGAGGCCAGGAGCGACCAGCCGATGGCCGCCAGGGTGCCCGCCGCTCCTCCCGTATTGCATCGATCTTACACACACTGTTGATTCTCCCTCAATGCATCTTTGTATGCAGCGACGGCTTTCTAATGCGCGAAGCTCAGAGCGCGGCATAAAAAAGTGGGAGGGGCTGGATTATACTCGCGCGCATGCCCCACGTAGCCGTGCAATACGCATTCTCCAAAAATGCATAGGTAATATGTCCACTATATAATTATAAATTTGTTATTTAGGATATGTACGACGACATTTATAAATCGACCATGACATTTATAAAACAACGAAGACATTTATAAATCGACCGTGACATTTATAAATCGACCGTGACATTTATAATCAACCGTGACATTTATGACTCTAATTGACACGGGAGGCGTGGCAAAAGACGCTTAGTTAAAGCGGTAAGCCAGAGACCGTTTATGAGTTTGACGCGCATGCGCACGCCACACCCTTGGCTATGCAGCGTCTTTATATAAATGTCGTCGTACATATCGCAGCAAATTAATATATTATAGTGGACATATACCTATGCATTCTTGGAAATGAGTTTTGGAACAAACGGCGCCCCGCTGCTTTGCATGGGGGAGAGTTAGTTATACAAAAACTTCGGTTATATATGCACTGTTTATCATGAAAACCGCCGAAGTAGCACAATGACGACAACAATAATAATTACAAGTAAATTAAAAATCCTGCAAATTTAAAAAAAGAGGCATATAGGGATGGTATAAAAAGAAAGGGAGACAAGATAAGGATGGGATACATGAAGCATGGTTAATGAACACATTTGAGCACGCTGACACCCCCAACCCCATCACACAATCCCTATATTGTTGCCTGGTGTGCTACTCTTATAAGGGCTAAAGTTTACTAAAAGCAAGCATTCTTTCACGTGTCCCTGTTGTTATTTCTACTTTTTTACTGCCACATTCCCTTTCATTAAACTCCATAACGGTGTTGGTTGTTTGCGTTATTTTGGCAGCCACAAGAATGCCGCCCACAGGCGCTAAAGTACTCCTGGGGGTTTCCCAGTTGGGTGTAGCCTTGAGGCGTGGCTGGCTGTAGAAAGGCCCCAGGTCGCGTCGACTCTCTCTCTCTCGCCGGCCCGCGGCGCGAGGCCAGGAGCGACCAGCCGATGGCCGCCAGGGTGCCCGCCGCTCCTCCCGTATTGCATCGATCTTACACTGTTGATTCTCCCTCAATGCATCTTTGTATGCAGCAACGGCTTTCTAATGCGTGCAACTCTCTCAGCAGAGCGCGGCAGGGAGGGGCTGGATTCTATGCGCATGCCCACGTATAGCCAGCCGTGCGAAGGGTAGGGCCGGCTATGGGGTACAAAAACTTCGGCTGCACTGTTTACCAAAGTAGCACAATGATAACAAGTGCCTGTACTACGAGACCAATATAAGTCCTTCTTCGGTAGGACTCCATGAAATCCAACTTTCTTGTCTTGTGGTTGAATTTCTTCAGAGCCATGAGCCCGCCAATTCCGCCCAGCCAGGCATCACTCTTCAAACTATTTTCAGGAGTGCGATGCTTTCCCATAATTGCCTTCCTTTTGTCTTCTCTCACATTCACGTACGCACAGTAGTTGCACGAGGCGAGGAAGAAACCTAAGATAGCGATAACAAAATCTCCACAGACTAAGACACAGAGGGAGATCAAAATACCTGTAACAATGGCTGCAAACAGCATTGTATAATATACAGCGCACCGAAATCGCGTCGCGTCGCTTCTCGCGTCGCTTCTCGCGTCGTCGTCGTCGTCGCGATCGGCGGGGGGGCGCGGCTGTTGCGTCGTCGCGCACTGGGGGGTCGCCAGTTGCAGCATAATAATGACGGCTAATACGGGTTCTGAGCTAGCAAGAGACTACCTGGCTCGTCAGAACATCCCACAACTGTTCGAAGTCAGTGCACTTTCGGAACACAATGACGCGAGACGCTTTGCGCTCTCTTCGTGCAGAGCCTGATAGCTGGGCTGGCTTACCATAGACCAGACGACCCCATCTCCTTCCTGCAGCGGTGTCTGGAGGAAGCAAAGACACGTGAGGGTCTCTACTCGTGGAACCTCTTCATTTTTCCGCGGCGAGAGGACCCGTAACGCGGAGCGTCTTCTCGCGAAACAAGCCCCTCCCACCAATCAGTGACGCGCAGCGGAGCGACGTTGCTCCGCCGACGAAAAAACCCATCTTCTTCATCTTAGGTACAATTGTAAAACCTTTAAACGCTGGCCATAGATAATATGTAGTCTAAAATGATCCGCTGAGGTGCTGCACTGCAGGGGGACCGGGATGTGGAAAGGGGACGCAGTGCGAGAAGCTGGCGAAAGAGTTCGGTCTCGTCCACCTCTCCTCGGGGGACCTGCTGCGGGAAGAGGTGGCGAGAGGATCTCTTCGGGGCCGCGAGATCCAGGAGATCATGACTGAAGGCAAACTTGTCCCTCCTGTGAGTTGTTAAATCGCTAAGTAGTCTTGGAGCGAACCGCGAGCAGCTCCTCCCACTTTCACGCTTTTGACGTACGTATATTATATACCTACCAACCATCCCACTTTTTGCTTGATAATCATGCAAAAATACTGCCTATCCCTCCAAAAATCCCCAAATCCCTCTTTTTTGTGCTAACCTGTGATGCATCATGCTTATATATACATTTTGAATGGACACACAGCATTTTCAAGCAAAAATACTCCAAATCAAGCAAATTTGACACATTTCGGTTCATCTGCAGGTTGGTAGGTATGCGATAGGGTTGTTGGCTCTGCACGCACATGGGAAGAGACTGATTTGTTAAACGTTTGCAGGAAGTGACAGTTAGACTGCTGAAATCGGCCATCAATTCTGTAGGTGATGCAAACGGATTTCTTATCGATGGCTTCCCCAGAGAACTGGCCCAGGCACATATGTTCGAGCAACAAGTGAGTCCTTACAAAACAGTAGTCAGTGGTTTATGTGTTGGTCTCTCACAGGTAGGGGAGTGTGCAGCGGTGGTGGTGTTTGAGTGTGGCGAGGAGGTGTTAGTGGAGAGGCTGAGAAAGAGGGGAGAGACCAGCGGCCGCGTGGACAACAACGATGACACCATCAGAAAGAGGCTCACAACGTTCTCCGCCTCCACTCTGCCAGTGGTGCAGCACTACCAGTCACTGGGGAGAACTAGAATGGTACACAACAATACACAGGTTCTGTGAACCCCCTGAGTCACCAAATTACGGATATACCTCTCTATAAGGAACACTTGTTTCCAATACATTATTACCCCCAATTAGCGGACATGCACCTCCTAATTAATTTTGATGTTATCAGGCCTCACTACACATTAATATGTGAATGTGGCCGTCTGTGAGCCAAAACCGATCGCTACTATGTACTTGTTGTGCAGGTAGATGCAAGTGGGACAGTGGATAAGGTGTCCAGTGAAGACAAGATCATCTTCAGACAACTGTTAGCAGACCATTGACGGATAGCACTGCATCAAATCACTGACATTACCTCATCACGAACCAATCACATTGAATAATGTATAATTCACAGTATAATTATACACTGAGGTTGAGTTAGAACAACGACAAATGTGAAAACGGATTTCTCTAAAAAGAGATTTTGTGTCAGGTCTTCTTGGTGAGAGAGAACCTCTGCCTGGCGCCCAGCACCGCTCCCTGCATCTCCTCCGGAATAGATCCAAACACAGCAGACGGGACCACCTGCTCCTGGATCTCCACCTCCTTCTGGTTCTGGTCAGGTTCCGGTACCGGCTCGGGACCCTCCTCCTCCTCCCCTCCACTGTCCCCCAGCTCTATCTCATCCGGGTTGGCACCCGAGACTTTGGCCATCTCCTCCATCTCTGCCGATGCCTCGCTGCTCCTGGGAACACAATGGCAAAGCTCAAAAAGGAGAATAGAAGAATAATATTATAACAACATTTTGCAGTGTATGTATATACCACAAAATCATGTGGACATTCCACATACTTTCCTCTGTTATGCAATGTATCCCGTAAATAATTACCTACAGAGATTGAGATGGTAGAAAAGAAATTGTTGTGCTAACTTGACAAAGGTCATGGTCTTCGGTTTGTCTTTCTTTGCCTCCTCCGCGATCCTGCGAGCTTGTTCCTCCAGCAACCTCATCTCATCCAGACTCTCTCCTGAACACACATCACACACCACCTTCTTTTCCGCTTGTGCCTATTTTCACTGATCTATACGCACATCTTTCCACCACTGATCTATACGCACATCTTTCCACCACAGATCTATACGCACATCTTTCCACCACAGATCTATACGCACATCTTTCCAACACTGATCCTATTTCTTGCAGTTAAACTAAAACTCTACCTTTCTCAGACTTCTAGACTTTAACGACCTACAAAGTAACATCCCTTCCTCTCTCCCTCTATAGCTAGAACTCAGACAGATCCTCACCTGTAACCTGGACCTCCTTGTTGGCAGTGGCCAACATCTGAGCCGACATGAGGTTGACCTGGGTGTTGTACTGGGCCTGGACACTCCTCTTGATCCTCAGCATCTCACGGAAAGTGTCCTCGTTACCATAGCGAATCTCAAACTCTTGCCACACCTTCCAGTAGGACTTGGTCGTCTGTCAAGAAAGAGTAATTGTTAACTTGTGTTAGAATACACTAAGAGCACAAAGAAATGAGTGATTATGGAGAATGAGGTAAGAAGAGAGGCCACACCCACCTTGGGATCACTGAACTGTGACCCGTGGCTGTAGATGGAGCGAGCTCTGTCCACCTCTCCCAGTTTGGTCTCCAGCTGAGCATACCTCATACACATGTCCCTGGGAAGAAGAGGAGAGAGAAGGGAACTTCAACTGCCTAGATTTGCACAGGCACCTCAGTTAATAAGGGAGCTCAAGCCGCAGAATTAATGTTCATGTGCAGAGATAATACAATATTCATATGCAGAGGTAGCAGAATAGGTGGAGTCAGACTGAATGTATCAACAACTTGGTAACAAGGTAGAAAGGCAAGGCAAGGCAAACAAGTCAACTACACCCAGGACAACTCTTTCTTTCCAAAGAAAAGAAGAAGAGCTGCCCTGGGTGGGATTCGAACCCACGACACTCTGCGGTCTAGGCGAGTGCTCTACCAACTGAGCTACCAGGGCAACTCAGCTGGTAGCATGTCTGCTGTAGTTTGATTGGTTAGTGGGACCCAAAGGATCTGGGCGACATCATCCGGGATCGGGACACCAGACTGTTCCAGTAGGAATGGGAACAGAGCCAACACCAACACACACACACACTCGAAGCCGAGTCCCTGAGTCTCGTTGTGCATCGGCTAGGCCGTGGTGTGTTAATTACCTTGACCCTTCGTCAGGGAGCACCTCGATTGCCTTCTCGTAGATCTCCCTGGTGTGAGTGATGCCAAACGCCTCGGCTGCTCTCTTGATGTAGATGGAGAACATCTGCATGTGTGAGTGCAGAGGAAAACATACATTAGAAACTTAGCGTTAGGAAATTGCAGTATTGCAACTCCTTCGAAAAAGGCTCTACCTAATCAGACAGTTTTCTAGAAAGCAGGCTTTGCCCAAACTCATGCAAAAGAACTGTACACATGTTGTTTGAAGAATTCGAAACTATCTGTTTCAGTCTGCATGCAGTGTGTTACCTCAAACTGTTCCTCGGCCAGCACAGCAGTGGTAGCTCTGTTGTAGACAGACATGGCATGTCTTGCCAGGCCATGTTCTTCCTCCAGCTTGGCATACAGCAGGAATATGGCTGTCAGAGAGGGGGGGGGGGGGCGATGAGTGTGTGTGTGTGTGTGTGTGTGTGTGTGTGTGTGTGTGTGAGGATAGGGAAAGAGCAAACGTTCTCACTTTTGGCGAACTTGGCAGGACAGCCGTCCAGAGCCTGCTCAAACAGATCACGAGCTCTCTCCAGCTTCTTCCCTCCCTACAACGTCACGTACAGTACAATGTCCATCTGTCCGTAGACCCTTTCATTCTCCACGTAATTACACAAAATATGCACGAGCGGGAAGGTGATGATACTCACATATCGTTTGATGAATTTCGTGAGGTACGTGTTCCAAATGTCAAAGACGTGTGGCCATTTGAACAGAGACACTCCATGTTCATATGCCTACAGAGACAGAGAGAGAGGTGGATGGTGGTGTTTACAGAGACAGAGAGAGAGAGGTGGATGGTGGTGTTTCAACTGAACTATATATAATATTAGAGTCCAGGTATTCAGAATATGTAGTTGGCTTTTCCTTCATCTAACATACTGGCTAAAAGTACAGGCCAATTTAATTTTATTGCACTGCACTCTCCAGCTACAGTCAAGGTGTTCAGAATGATCTGTTGGCCTGTCCTTCCCCAACCTCAGCACCCTACCGTACTTAGTGACACTGACCTTGAAAGCCTCTTCAAAGAAGTTGTTTTCCTCCAGAAAGAGGGCGTAGTTTATGATGATCTGGGGAGTTGCAATCTTGAGGTCCACGATCCTATTGTAGACAGCCTTGGTGGAATCCACTGTTCCCAGACTCTCCTCGAGATCCGCGTACATCGACCACACCTTCAGAGACCTGAATAACCGGTTCTGAACCGGTTCGCTCTGCAGTTGAAGAGAGAGGGAGAAACAGGTTTGGGGAGTGTGTGGCAGGCTACTAGTGACCTTGTCGTGGTAGGCGGCCCTCTTGGTTGGCATGGCAGTTGCCCTCTGCATCAACTGCAGAGCCTTGTCATAGAACCTGCACAGTCACACAGAGAAGAGAGAGCATTATTGAAAATCCTAAAACATTGAACTTTATCTTGATAATTATATTCCGGGTTGCAAAAAATTTGTGAATCCCGCCAAAACCACAAGTTTATAATAAAATTCACTTTGCAAAAGTTCACACCGACGTTACCAAAGTTTTACTTTTAATCATGCACTTTCTGAGTTAAAATTGTTCACAGACTTTCATACGTTTCATGTGCTTCACTCGTTACTCTGAAAAGAGAGGGGCTTACTCGTGGCGGAGCTCCATCTCGGCATATTCACACCACACAGTGGCCAGGTCGTCAACGTTCCTGAACGGAACTCTCGTGGCCTTCTCAAAGACGACCCTGGCCTCCGCCAGCTGACCTTTCTCCTCGTAGAACTTGGCAAAGCTGGTCCAGAGAGAGTGGACCTTCCCAACTGCCTGGTCCATGGAGACAGTCTGTACTGCCTCCGTGAATGTATTGATGACCTGATTAGTGAGGAGAGAGGGGGGAGAGAGGGGGTGAGGCTGAATGTTCTTTTCCAAATTTTACTAGAGGCAGTTGTATTATGCTCCAATTAAGGGATAAAGGGAGAGATGGTCTGTTGATACGGTGACTTGAAATGAAATGCTTACTTCTCGCGGCTTGTCTTCAAAAAGTTTAACTCTTTTCAGCCACTCGTGAACGTTGTGAGGATTCTGCCTCAGCAGCACACTGCACCAGGAGAGAGAGAGAGAGAGAGAGAGAGAGAGCAGAGGAAAAGGGGTGATAATGTATCATCATTTCCACTCACCTGCTGAGTAGGAACGGTCTGCGATCCATCAGCTCCTCGAACCTGGCCAGGCGCAGTTCCAGATCCAGGTCGTCTGTGGAACGGGAATGAGACAGTGTCTAGCCCCGCCCACTAACTAACAAAGCCCCGCCCACCATCTCCGCTGGGGGCCCATGTCGGCCACGGTCTCCATCTTGGCGTGGATCATGCTCTCTTCAAACTGAACGTAGGCGTCAAACACCTGACTGAAATCTCTCACCGTCGTCACAGTCTGTATGGCTTCTTCATAGATATCTCGTGCCTCAAGAAAGAGAAGACATCTTTCATTTACTACTTGCTTAAGTTTTTGAGGTTCACTAACAATTTAGTGTATTTTTTATCTACAGTTTTTTTTCGCCACATTACCACTTTTAGCACTTTCAAAATCTCATAGGTCTAGGTGTGAGAGTAAATATATTATGATTGGGAAGGTGATGGAATAGCTAAATAGAGATTTATTATCTTGTTGTTATGGAAACGGACTAACACGATGGGTGGCGAAGAGAAAAAACATAAATCCAGAATTCCATTCACCTTTTCAAAGTGGCCGGCTCTGATGTAGTAGTCAGAGAGAGAGCACCACAGCTGACCAATCATATCGGTGAACCGGCGAATTCCTCCGCGGATGATCGGATCAACTTTGACAGATGTCACCTGAACAAACCAAGGACACTCTCTCACACATGACGCAGTGATTGACGAAGACACTTTGTACATGAGACACATGCAACTCCAAATGTTTGGGTATGATAGAGACCGAATGTGTGGGTATGATAGAGACCAAATGTATGGGTATGATAGAGACCGAATGTGTGGGTATGATAGAGACCAAATGTGTGGGTATGATAGAGACCAAATGTATGGGTATGATAGAGACCAAATGTGTGGGTATGATAGAGACCAAATGTATGGGTGTGATAGAAAAATGTGCCATGAGATGGTAGAAAGCATTTCTGTTGCATACACCATATTACATGGACCCATCGGCATCATATTACATGGACCCATTGGAACCATTACATCATATTACATGGACCCATCAGAACCATTAGTACGTTGTGAGGTTGAGTGGAACCTGTGTCTCACGTACCAAAGTTGCCTCATGTATCGCTGCAGTAACACACAGTGTGATATATATACATACCTTCTCTGGGTTCTTGGAGATGAGGATGCACAGCTCCTGCCACAACTGATGCTTGGACTTGCCCTCCTTGGACACAAACTTGTCCTGACGACAACCAAATAGAGAAAATAAACAACAGACAGACAGACAGACACACTTACAAACCGAGTACAGCATGCGCACCGAGGGTTAACGAGTGAGGGTTCCTTACATCATTGACAATGTCGGCCATCTTGACTGCGGCCTCGTCCAGTCTGTCAATAGACATCAGATATTCCACAAATTCCTCTGTGTTCTCTGGCATCAGCTGTGGTGTGTGTGTGTGTGTGTGTGTGTGTATGTGTGAGAGAGAGAGTGAAGGAAGATAGAGAAGAGAGTCTAATGTCTTCCGAGAGGTGTTCCTATATCAGGGGTTAAATTTACACGTGGGAAGAAAAGGGTGTCTGTATTAAAGGTGTCCTAATTTAAGGGGTTTCCCCAAGAGAGGGGTTCCACTGTGAACCCTGACCTTGAGGTGTCTGCGATAGACTCTGATGGCAGTCTCGGGGAGGTCATGAGAGCAGACAAATTTGATGTACAGCGGCCATATCCTCCGGTGTTGGGTGAGAGGGAGAGCCTGGAGCGCTCGATCTAAAGTCCTCCTCGTCTTGGTCACCTTCCTCTGGTCTATGAGGAACTGGCAGTAGTCCAGCCAGATCCGAGGCATCTGCAGTGACACACAGTGACACACAGTGACACACAGAAAATGAACCTCCAAAAAGAGGACACCTACATAGGGACACATACTAATACACAGGGACACCTCTCTATAAAGGACACTTGGTTCTGCCACATACTAATACATAGGGACACCTCTCTATAAAGGACACTTGGTTCTGCCACATACTAATACACAGGGACACCTCTCTATAAAGGACACTTGGTTCTGCCACATACTAATACATAGGGACACCTCTCTATAAAGGACACTTGGTTCTGCACATACTAATATACAGGGACATCTCTCTATAAAGGACACTTGGTTCTGCCA